GGTAACGTGTAAAACAGAAATATGCATTTACTTACACGGGAAGCAAAATTATTCACAAAGCACCCAGAAGCAAATACACAAGGCAACGGCAAAGTTAAATGTTTTAAGCATGTAAAATCTAGGCAAGCTCATCCTTAGGAAAAAAAGTTGTTTTATGGTCCCAGGAAACTAACTAGGCTAGATGCTTATTCAAAAATGAGAGTGCTTCAAACACAATACCTTTATTCTAATTACAAGTATAACTGATAGTTTGGGGTAAAGGGATTTAGATTTTGCAAACCAGCTTTTTGGGCTGCTCAGATAATAGTTTTTGGTGATTTTAAAGGATTAGAGTGAGCTGCTTATAACTTATACTCTGTGATCTTTGGAGTTTCCGCCCTCCACATCCACCTCCCTGGAAGCTCATGGGAAGGGGGTAGGGTAAAGCTGAGACTCTGGTAGGTGTGAAAGGCATCCTAAGAAGTAGGAAGGGGCTAAAGTTGCTTCTTTAAAGGTTTTTGTTGTTGTTGTTTTATATTTTTATTGATTTTAGAGAGGGAGGAAGGGAGAGGGAGAGAGAGAAAAACAGCGATGTGAGAGAGAAACATTGATTGGTTGCCTTCTGTGTGTGCCCACAACCCAGGTATGTGCCCTGACTGGGAATCGAACTGGCAGCCTTTTGGTGCACAGGACAGTGCTCAACCAACTGAGCCACTCTGGCAGGGCTAAAGCTGCTTTACATTGTGACTATAAATACTTAGAATTTATTTAAATAGCTCCAAAATGGTACATTTAGAGGAAACTACTTTTAAATAAAGGTAAATTAGTTTTTCCTCCAGTAATTCCATCCCGTGGATGGTGTTATGGACTGAATATTTGTGTCCCCCTTAAATGCATCTGGTGAAACCCTAACCTTCAGGAGGGCTGTATTTGGAGATGAAGCCTCTAAGTTAGAGGTTACAGTTAAATAAAAGTCATAAGGGTGGGGCCCTGATCCAATAGCATTACTATCTTTATAAGAAGAAATAGCAGATCTCTCTCTCTCTCGCATATATATTTACTTCCATTATATATATTTGTACATTTAGCAATTTTATGGTAAAATATTTATAATCTATCTTATTTCAGTAGAAATAATGTAATCCACAATAAGATTCTTATGTATAGTTACTATAACTATAGTGGACATTTTTCAGACACAAACTAAAAGGCTCAAATTAAATAATAATCATAGCTTCAAATACATGCAATGTTATTTGGAAACAACTGCATTTTAGGAAATAATTTCATTTTTATTTATTCAAGCTTAAATTTGAAAATTAGAAGCTAAAGGCATTTAGGATGCAGGTACAAAATTAATTCAGAGTCTACATTTAAAAAATATGTAATAAGTTAGGTAAATTTATAGACATTTCTGATCTCAGTATGAATGGTAAGTTTGTAAGAAACCTTGTCAGAAAGTGGATGAACTGGCCAGGAGTTCGGATCATGGTCGTTATTCTTTTTAGATTTTTCTATTATTATTATTGATTTCAGAGAGAGAGGAAGGGAGAGGGAGGGAGAGAGAGAGGGAAACATCAGTCAGCTGCCTCCTGCATGCCCCCTACTGGGGAGTGAGCCAGCAACCTGGTCATGCTTCCTGACCAGGAATCAAACCGGCGACCTTTCGGTGCAGGAGGCAACACTCAACCAACTGAGCCACAGTGGCCAGGGCCTTTTTAGATTTTTTTGATGGAAGAGCAAAATGTTTCTCCTTGTATACTTGGGAACGTCTAATTATCATAAAAAGGCAAAAACTCTGAGTCATAAATTTATGTGTATTGCTTTTTCACAATTATGTAGCATTGTACATTGTTTGGGTTGTAATGGTTTGAGTACGTCTCATTTTCCCTAACTGGATTTTGTGTTCCCTGAAGGCAGAAACCACAAAGTTATGGTTCTTAGTTTTAGCCACAATTCTGTTTTTCTTAGCTCTTCTTTTTCTTGTCTTGGTTAATTTCCTTTCCATTCTTCTCTAGAACTATGGCGTTACTTCTCTAATTTCAGATCCTCTACTCATGCTTGCCTACCTCCACTCTCAGCAGATATCTTAGAAGATGAGCTAACAAAAGGCAAATCATAAAAATTCAAGTTACAAAATATACATGATTTTCAATAACAAAGCAAATATGTTGGAAACAACATTCCACTGTATGAGGAAAGAGAACTCTCCAAATCACAAAAAAAGATCTGATTTTGGAGCCCTAGAGAGGGAAAACTGTTCAAGCAAATACAAGTTCAATGGTGTTGTACACACACGCATACACACATACACACACAACCTGTAAAAATGTTAAATTTCAAGATTAAGGAATTGTACTAGCATCTAGAAGGAAGAAAAGAGGTTACTTTCAAAAAGGCAAAATCAAACCAGTCTCATATTTCTGCTTTGTGACAATAAAAATTCCATAAGGCAATGAAAAAATATCTTTAAAGATTTGACAGTGGAGAGGATTATGACCCAATGATTTTATTGTATTATAAAGACATCCTCAGATTTACAAGGTTTTGGAAAATGCACTAGTATAGCACTTTTTCCTTCCAGAGTTTTCTATGCAGTCAAATGACTCCATCAAGGGCAGAAACCAAGAATTGGGGAGTTGCAGTAGAAACGGACTGACAGTGAAGATTAAAACAAGCTAAAGATCAGAAATAAAGTGAAAGGGAGAAAATAAACACTTTCTGAACACTAACTGGTGCCAGAAACTCCATTTTTTAAAAATGGCACGTAGAATGTATCTGGTTGCTTAAGCTTATACTATTAATATAAGCTTGAGCTAGTGTTTATATCCAGACCTGTCAGCTTCCAGAAGGCAAAAGGAAATGAACTTATTTGTGAAAGAGAGTTTGATCTGATGTCTAAATAACTGCCATCATGCCATCAAAATAGAATGCAAAGAGAAAATAGAAGTATTTGTAGTAGATTATTTAGTAGGCATATATATATGATTTGTGATTCTAGATTAAATAAATGAATAAAAGCAAGAGGAAGAGAGAAAAGTAAGCCAAAAAAAATTTATAAAGTTTTCTTACAAAATAATGTTAAAAGTATTACTTCACTTTTAATTTAATTATATAATTGGGGCTATATACATTTGCATATAATACTTGTGTTATCATTAATAGAATTAAAATGAAATAAATTTCTGACAAGTCAATGCAGAAGCAATAAAATAAGCATTCCATATAGCAGTATACATAGCAAAATATAGCAAAAGAAAAGTAAGAGATAAAACAAAGGGCAACCTGAATGGCTTGTTTGGGACTAACTTCATCGTAGACTTGTCATCTTTATTTTAGTTGACATCTCCCCTCTCTTTGGTTGCTCCTTCCCAGCCTTCTTTGTCAATTTTTCTTTTTAAACCCAACTATTAAATGTGGGAGAACATCAAGACCTGGTCCAATGCCCTTTTACTTCCTTTTCATTGTCTTCTTTTAAAACGACATTCCTTTCCACTTATTACTTTTGTCAATGACCCCTGCTGTTCTATTTCCTGATGTGCAAATCTGTCCACTCAACATCTTTCAAGTAAAAGTTTCCCAGACCCCTCAAACTTAATAACATTATACAAACTGAACAACTACTACTGCCACCTTCCCAAATCAGGATTTCCTTCCAATTCTTCATCACCATTCACTCAGTTGCTTAAGTGACAACTTGGAAATAATCTTGGACTTCCACCTCTTCTCCAACCCACTCCCTCCATCCCCTCGATTCCAATTAATTTTGTCCATTACCCTTCCTCTAAATCAAAGTGTATCTATTCTATTCCAAGTGGCCAAAACTATCCTAGTTCAGGTCATGATCATCAGTCATCCAAGTTCATCTAAAACCTTCCTAGTTGGTCTCCCTACACACACCCTTATTTCTCCCCAAAACTTTCTCCATTAAAATTGCACTTAAAAAAATACAAATATAAGCATGTCATCCTTCTGTTTAAACTTCTTTCTACATACTTGCAATAGAATCATCCTATGTCTTGGCATAATTATTAACAGCGCCTCCTCTCATTCTCAAAAATACCTCAGTTTAGGCATAAATTACATGGTCCCTATCATAAGGGCTTTCCTGACCCGACCAGCTTCTCGGCCTTCCTCTCGAGACTCACCTTATCCCAGTCCCCATCTTGCCATCTACACTCGTGTCTTTTGTGCATGTGCACATTGTCTCCCCATCCATACTTTCGTCCCACTTTTTGCTTCCAGCCAGTTACCTTTGAACAATGAAAAACAAAAATAAAACATTGGGTCTCACTTTTTCCTGGATGCTTCATGCTTTAGGAAAAAAGCCACTTGCTTTAATGTTCCCATCCTGGTTAGACTGAGTCAAGAGCTCCTGCTATGCCTTTCACAATCCTTATTACCTCCCCATCAGAGCACTTGTAATACTTTATTGTGATTGCTTTTTAGCCTATATTCCTGAGTGGACTATAAAAGACATCAGGGCTGACTCATCTCGTTCGTCATTTTATCCCCAGTTCTCAGTCACCAACAGTTAATAAATATTCCTAAAAGTCATAAAGATGTAAGTACATCATTGAAAGTCATAAAGGAATTTAAAAATACCAGTCATAACAACTTAGATCATCTTTCAAAAAATTCTTTCTAGTATATAAATGATTGTTTTTTCTCACTAGTCTAGAGTTCTTTCAAGTCCAAAGTTAAGTCTATATCCTTTGACGAAGAATATTTCTTTAAGGAAAAGAGCAACGTATTACATGCTTTGAACAGGCGAAAAAAAATTTGCTTCTCTCCTATTGGTTACTTTCCTATTGCTAAATATCTTCTAAGAATAATCTGCTTTTGTAATAGATCTCTAAATATTGAAAGGCTTGAAAAGAAGCCTTCCTATTTTCCTTCTCAGAAGACACAGCTGCCTAGTGTTAGCTTGCTCCAAATTCTTCGCCTTGTCCCTTTTCCCTCAAGCAGCTCTAGGTGTCTCTCAGTGACTTCCTCTCACCCCCCTCTCTTTTCACACTCACCAATCCCAAATTCCGTTCCTGCGAACAATCACAGGCTGAGTCCTCTGCGGAGATGAGGGCGTTTGTCCATCCGCCAGGCTTCCGAGGCACCCGAGGACTCAACAAGCATGTGGATTGGGAGTAGCTATAAAACCCCTCTCTCCTCCGTGTCTCAATGCATCTCCCCTTTCATTCATGTTTCAGCGTGATATTTCACCCTCCTGGTTCTTCATCTGTGGCTGGGGTGTTAAGTGTTGATGAGATAATTCTTGGATCAAATCCAACAAGTGCTTTAAAAATTTAATGTATGTGGGTACCGAATAATGATCTCACACTGTGTATGACCCAGAGTACTCGAGTGTGTCATGTTACTGAATTACCCTTAGGTAACCATTACTGTGTCTGGGTGGTCATTGCTAAAGAAGGTGAAGGGTGTCTCTGAGTGTGTGTGGTGGAGGGAGAGGAGGGGCAAAAGGGAGGTGGTCTGCTGCCTTGCTCCCAACACATTTATAATTTTAATTGGCCTATCACTTACATAACTTTATATATCTGCGTGCAAACCTTTTTATTTTATGTGTGTATATTTCACTGCTGCTCAACTGCTAGAATTTCTATTAAAAGTCTAATGTAGGTTTACTACCTGTGTGGCTTTTAAAATGAAATGGATTGTAAACTTCCCAATATTTTTCAAGCTTATCCAAATTCCTGCAATGTTCATTTGAAATAATAATTCATTATTACTTCAACTTGAGTGCATGTATAAGATGAACTCTTTAGGGGAAAACAACGATACTAAAGAGTTAATATGATTGAAAGGCTTCTATGACAATAATTGAAGATTTCTCCACTCACTAAACGGTTCTATGGGTCCAAGAAATTAGGGGAGGTCTGAAGAAAGAATGAAAAATGAAATGTTTTTAAAGCTTAAAAGTGTAGGCAGAATTCTCAAAATGTAGAGCCTCAAATTTTATTGACACAATGCTCAAGTTTTATTAACTTCAGTCCAGTCCCTTGTCTTTGCATTTGAGTACACTTCTGACCAGAAAAGTGAACTTGCATGTCTACCCAAGGAAATATGTATGTTTACTACAGAAGTAGGACTCAAACCCAGGTCTCTTGACTCTTGCTTAATACATATTAATCATTCATTAGTTTAACAATCTTGTATTGAACGTCTACTCTGACAAAGAGGGGCTTAATAGTGGAGAACAGGACATAGTACCTGTCTGAAAGAGCTCAGCTTCTTATGAGGGAGAGAGACAACTAAACAGTGATGTTCCACTGGGGAATATGTAATAATAAGCTTATACAGAGAATTACAGGAGGAGAGAGGAGATACAATAAAACCAATCTGGGTGTCCAGGGAGGGTTTCATACTGGAAGAGACATACGTTTGAGCAAAGACTTAAGAGTGTAAACAGCATGCGGCCTGCCATGGCACACAAGCAGTTTGGCATTTCCGTTGCCTACAGTGTGTGAGAGAGTATTAATAAGATAATGGAGAAAGGAAAAGATAGTGGGGGATCTTGCAGGATATGACAAATGGCTAGGGCTTTATTTTGTACTGATTGGGAGCCATTGGTGGATATTTTTGAGCAGAAGAGGAAGACAGTGAGAGCAGTTGGGTCCATTCTTTTCAATCCATTTTGGTTGGACAAGATTTTTGTTTATTCATTTTGTTTGTTCTTTGTTTTTTTAATTCTCACTTGAAAAAAAGATTTTATTGATTTTAGAGAGAGAGGAAGGGAGAGAAAGGGAAACATTGATGTGAGAGAGAGACATTCATCATTTGCCTCCCATACACATCTGACCATGGATTGAACCTACACCCTAGGTATGTGCCCTGACTGCGAATCGAACCTGCAACCTTTAGGTGTACGGATGATGCTCTAACCAACTGAGCCACCCGGCCAGGGCTGGTTTTTAATTTCCAATTGGCTGCAGACCAATATGTGGTCATAGTAAACACCATTAGTGCTCAGCTAGTGTCACGTGTCACTCACCATGAGAATTCCAAAACCTTAAATGGTCCACAACCTATTCAATGAGACAAATCCAATCACTATATGGCGGGCATTCCCCCAAATATCAAAATGCTATAATAGCTTTGTGAGGGGTTATAGAACACATAAAGCTCATTTTCAAAGATTCCCTTGACCCCTGGGCTTTTTGCTTGAAGAGCTGACATTTGCCTATATGTTTATCCTTTATCGATTCATCACTAAAAACCTCTACCCCACTGCACCCTCCTCAAATGACGCTCTTTCTTTAGATAAGTTTATGTATTAAATAATGCAACAGCAAAGACTTAGAGATAAAAATTTACTCTATTTTCTAGCTTGCTTTTGCATACTATACTCTGATCAATTATGTGTTGGCCTTAAATGTTAACTCTCAAAAGCAATTCCAGGGAGAAACAAGACCGCAACACAGGTCACAGCTGCATCTGCCGCCTCCCGCAACCACATCAAAATTACAACTAAAACACAGAACCACCACCACTCGGAGCCTCCTGAAATCTGGCTGCACAGAAGCCCCACAACCAGGGAACTGAACAAGCACCCAGAGTGGGAGGAGGGGCGGAGACGCGGGCGGGTCGGGGCTGAATCTCGGAGACCCAGCCCTGGGCGGAGACCGTGAGCTGCTGTTTAAACCCGGGAGGGAATCTCGGAGGTGGGGGTTTCCCAGAGGAGTGAGGGGGACCAGCCCCACAGCAGGCCCCCAGCCCAGGGCTCCAGGGCCCAGAAGAGACATCCCCATAACTCCGGCTGTGAAACCAGCGGGGACTGTCGCTGAGGGTCGCGGAGGCTGCGGGAGCCCCAGCAGCTCCTCTAAAGGGCCCGGCACGGACTCACTCGGACGCTCCCTCTGAGCCCAGCGCCGGGCAGCAGCCTGAGAGGACCCAGGACACTCGGGGAGGAACTGACCTGCCTGA